TATCCACCATATTAGAAGGACTCCACCAGTTATTAGTTAATAGGTGTATTCACGTACATCAGTTGATTGGTCAGTAATTGCTACCACAATGCATGTACCATAAATACTGTCTTAATTTTAGGGCCATATTTTGGAGACCTAATTAAAGGAACAGGAAAATTATTTCCAGATATTTTGAGATTTATTATCAATATGGTATCTAGTATTGAGTAAGTCTAGTATTGAGTAAGCTATTCAGTAAATTTACATGTAAAATATCAATTGATGCAAATGACTGTTTTATGACTAACGGATTTTGTATTCATTCCCAATTACTTTTTACTATTTAATAGTGAGCATCTTCATGAATTATCAGTTCCTGTTACAAATGAAATCCAGCAAGTTAAGAATTATAAAAGTTTGTCATTAATTTAACTTCATCTTTAACTCAGTGTCCACCTTTATTATTAGGTTTATTAAAGGACTTGTATCAACATTGTATGATTCCATTGACATTATTACTGGAATATACTAGTTCATCATTTCATAGATCTGAGGATTTAACCCTTTTTTGGTTGAGACTGCCATTGCTATGCCAACTTGTGTATGTGAATGGTGAGGTATTATTATGATTTTTGTTATTATTATTGTTACTTAGTTGCTCCAAAATTGGGCCAAAGGCTTTGTACATACAGGGTCTTTGGCCAAATTTCACCATAAAGGACAAGGAGGAAAATCTACTTTTTTATAATTTTTCTGATGCATATACTTGTTCTCATGTGATGTAGCAAGTTTGGACTTATTTCGATCAGAAGTAGATTTATTACGAATTTTAAAAGTTGCTCAAAAATTGTATCAAAGTCCCTGTGCTATATAATAGCACAGTAATTTTAGCCAAATTTTGTCAAAAATGAATTTGAGAGAATTCTTTATTTTTATCACATTTTCTGGTACATATACATGTTCTTATGTCGTGTAGAAAGTTTGAACTAATTTCGATCAAATTTGGATTTTTTAAAAATTTTTCTAGTAGTTCAAAAATTGCAGGGGCGTATCCAGCAGGGGCTGAGGGGGCTTGAGCACCCCCCTCATGGCTGGGCTCAGAAAAAAAATTACTCAAATCCTGGACTTTTGCATCACTACCAAGCCTCTTAACAAAGTTATCTAGCCCCCTGATGATGATTTCAGCAGTTTCCAGGGCTTTCAGGAGCAATGAGAAGTCGTCAGAAGTACTAGTATGCTTGAAATTATTTTGGCCCCACCCGTAATTCACGAATATGATGGAAAACGCCGTTTTACTGCCGCAAAAAGGTGTGGCCAAAATTGCAACACTTCGTGCGCCCTCAGCACCCCCCTTTCCACATTTCTGGATATGCCCCTGAATTATGTCTATGTCCCTGTCCTATAGTACAGGGATTTTGGTAAACTTTCATCAAAATGGTAGCACAGTTTTTGACACATTATTAATGTTATTACTTTTTATTAATTGAACCTTCTCTTGCAAATGGTGCATCACTAATGCTGCGTTTACACTACAGAGTGGGCCAAACCGTGCTGAACCAGACTGAGCTGGCCCTCCTGTACTAACCATGCTTGCCTGGTTTGGCCCAGCTCACTTCAGCTCAGTTTGGTTACTGTTTACACTATCAAATGAAACTGTGCTGGCCCACTTCAAACAGGGCTGGCTCAGTTCAAGAAGCTAGTGTAAACACAGTATAAGGTACTGTACATTCATTTTTTCTTAATTTTTATATTATTCTTATTTTTTATGATTATCACTATTAGTAATGTTTATCAAATAACATTATCAGTTGTGAGGCATTGCTCAAAACTCACATTCAGCAAGGTAATGAATAATAATAAGGTCACTATTAACTAATAATGAATTGTCACCTTAGACTGATAGCAAATGTTAACTACCACTTCTATTGAATAAGCTAATGATTTCATCATCATCAGGCCAGCTGCCAGAGACACCAGCACTTATTCGAAATTACTTATGTCACATAAATAAGTAACAAATTTTCCTTAGTTATCTTATTTTTTTTAACCTTTATAGTTCCTTCGTGGTTTGTTTGTGATTGATAAAGATCAGTTTATTGACAGAAAAATAAAGCAAATATTCTCACATTATTTCATAAGCTATCTTCAATCCAACCCAAACTCATCCACTAATCCATTTGTATTATTAGTGTCTCCAGCTTTTTATGAATCTCGCAATAAATACGATTGGTTAGTCAATTACACATACATATTTATGTAATATTGATATTCCGTGCTTTACATTGTTGAATATTTTTTCCATAATTATAGTTGTTCATATTCAACTCTAATTTGCCTAATGTTTTGGGAGTTGATAAATGCCTTATACCAAGAGTCCATTATATTTAGAGAGAGTGTCAAAATGGCCTATAGTGCTAGTGATATCACTGCGTAGAAGCTTCAATTAGTGCTTCCTTTGATGTTCAGAAGACTGAAGTTGCAGGCTAGGAACGAAGAATGGGAATGAGTTAATCGTGCCAAAGGGTGTGTCATTTAAATAACCAGACCGCACCCTTTGTGTTTCATCAAATTGGAGAAGTCCAGGAAGAGCTGCTACAGCAACAAAATCCCGATGATGAGAGACTTGGTGGAGCAGGAGCAAGTGTTGATTCAACAGGCACACCCAACTGGAGGTGGGAGAAAAGATCTAGAGGCTCCTATGAACCACAAGTGGCTGCTCGTAGAGATCTAAGACTAAAATATTCAATAAAAATGAAAGGACTACTATAATTGCGGACATGCACAACATAATCATTTCTCTTCACAAGTATTCTAACTCTAGATGTCAGTCCAAGGGGAGGGTGGTCATAGAAATTCAGATGAGTGAGAACCAGACACTGTTAGTCGTCATCTATGCTACACTTCACAACTAGAAACCCTTTTAGGTTAATAGAAAGACAGGAGTACAAGAGATTAATGTCTATAGTAGCTTGTGGGCTTTCTTGCAAAATGTGTGTCTGGTGCCTGCTACACTCGAGGTAGTCTCAAGGCTACACTAGAACTGGCAGCCATTTTATTATTAAAAGCAGTTGAGTACATGCCCTAGCATAGGAATGAGTCTGGAGAGTTTTAATTTTATTCTTGCCACCTATAGAGTGCGCAGAAATAGCCAAAGATAAACAAGAAACATCTATGTGGTGATATCACTAGCACTATAGGGCAGTTCGACACTCTCTCTAAATATAATGAACTCTTGCAAGAGTCCATTATAATGGACTCTTGCTTATACACACAGTATACTTTAACCATTGTATAATGTGTAATTATATTCTTATTATTAGTGACGTTTTTGTGAGAGTCTTTGACATCATATCAAAGCAGCAGCTAGTGATAGATGAATCAATTGCTAATGTTACAAAGTAAGCGAACAATAGCATCATGTATTGGTAAGGGACTACTACTCATTTTGGTTCTCAATTTCCTGCGTATGTTATTGTCTAGATTTAAGTACTACTATTCAATACTGGAAGCTACACCAATTCTTCTTGGACCACTCCTCTCATTATTCTTAAGGATGGGGTCATCTCCCTCCAGTCAGAACTGTGTTGCGATTATTAAGAAACTATTTAAGAAATTATTTGAAACTAATAAGAGTCATGCAGATGAATTATCAAAGTAAATAGTATTTTTTTCTTTATATTTTTATGTTTTTTTGTATTTTTAGTTCTAAGTTAATGCCAGTGATACAAGAGTATCTTGTCAGCAATTTATTGAATACTAAGGTAAAGTGAGAGTGTTCACTATTTGTTATTTAAATTAGCTGTACTGAGACTTCGAAGTATAAACCTTGGCAATTTTAATATCAATCACCCATTTTACATACAATGTTATCAAAACTCTTAATTTTTGATATTGTAACCAGATTGGCATTATAAGCAGAATCTAGATTTAAATTAAGGTTACGGGATACAGTTTATGAATAATTAATTAGCTGTAGTCAATTGTTTTTTCATTTGTTATCTTTTTAAAAATGACACTTCTTTCATTACTACTATCATTTTTAATGATTTATTTCTTATATAAGGTAATCTGTTCATCTTATACAGAATGACTGTACTTGATATAGGCTGGGTTAATTATAAACACTTATAAATCAAAAATCTCCAGTCCTGAACAACAAAAGTCTCTAAAACAAATGGTAGCTCTTCTTGAGGCAAAAATGAAGGTCGTCACGATGAGATTTTTTGCTTTCTTTCTTCTTAACCTCAGAAAATCAGTCAAGAATGCTGAAAAACGCACTAAAATGGCCGCCAAATAGATCTATGGTGTGACTATCTCCGTTTCTACTAAGTCCAGCCAAAAGAATGCCACGACACGACCTAGATATCAAACTTAGCAAAATATTTACTTGGAGAACCATGTGAAATATGGCCCAGTTGAGCTTATTTTTGATTTATAAAAGTCCATTCCTTTTGACGCAGGGCAGCGCATAGCCATAAATAGATAAGCCAATGATGATAACTCGTGAGTCCCCACCCACTTTTTAAAATTACATTTTTAATTTTAAGGATCGAAAGATTTACGGTTAGAAAGGTATCCCGTAACCTTAAATAATGTTTTCCTTAAAAACTGTATAAACACAAGGTTGAAACTTAAGTCCTAAATTGATCATAGAAGTACACATTTGTACGTCGTTGTATCCATGATCAATCTAAGCTATTAAGAAATTGTTATAATTTATTTTTACTAGTTTTGTCATTGTTTAGGAACATATATTCAGCTCCTTGATTGCTATAGCAGCACATTATCTCACCTTCATATCCCAGGCACTGTTTCCAGCTAAAAAACTTGTTGAGGAAAATGACAGTAAAAGCTGTCGTCAAAACAATTTATTGAGGTAGATGTAATGAATAGTATTTACATGTTTTAAAATTAGGAAATCATTAAAGAAACTAGAAGAGTCTGTCACTGTGCCAATAAATTAACTTAAGATTTAACAATACATATTATCCTTTTCATGCAACTATTGCTGTTTATTTTTAAGTAGCTAGAAATAGCAATTTTACTCACCTCAAAGTCATTATAGACCAGCAGTGAACCAGTGCCATAATTATTGCTGCAATTACATTATGTTTGATGTAAACTTATTTCTTAAAATCAAAGATACTTAAATTTACAAAAATAACTCCTTACAATCAGAAGTACACTTTATTAGCAGGAAAAATTATTACTGATATTATTGGACTACAGATTGAGTGATTGAGTTAATTAGCTATGGCTAACAAGTAAAAAAGCAGTCAATAAGTTACTGGGTAAGACATTATTTTTAATTTTAGAATATTCACTATGACAATGCTTTTGAAAAAATTATAACAATTTCAGAAATTTTGATTAGCTTAGTTTCTTTGTGTATTGTTTCACTTACCCAAATTAATTTTCCCAACACTAGTTTCGGTCAATGCAAGACTGACACATTGGGTATAGTCTAGTATTGGGGTAATTGAAAGTATTGTTAATCTAACTATTGTTTTGTTGCTTTATGATAACAAATAAGCTTAAAATTAATATATCACTATTGTGTGTACTACAAACTGGTCAAAGACAGATTCCAAACTGGATTATAGTCATGGAGTAAATGAAACATTAAAAAAAATCAGCTCTAGAGTGATTCTTCTTTTTGTCAAGGCCTTCTATCTCAAAATGCTGAATCTAGATCTATTCTGGCTTATTTTGTTGGCGTACATTTATTGTGCTGGTACATGTATAATTATTATGTATACTTTATGATTAGTACTAATACAGATAGATATAACAGTTCAGCCAGTGTCTATTAATACAACACTCAACTCTACTGTTGTCTTCTTTTGTGAAGCAGTTGCTGGTGAACTCACTGTTAGAGTGAATAATGTGCATGCTAGTAACTGATAGAGCTGTTCAGCAAAGCTACAAGCAATAGCTTATGAACATAATAATAATACTGAAGTGAAATGTAGACTTATACTTATGATCCTTTTCAGGTGGAGTTCAGTGATAATAATACACAGTATGAATCAACATTACTTGCAAATACACAACTTTCCATTTCCCTTTTAGCCTAGGTCTATTGGCTAGTGTTGTTGATCTGGATTATACTTTTATTAATGGGTCCAGTGTGTTACTAACATGGACAGCTCCTTATACGCTGGATAATGTACCTATCACTCCATACTCTATAGTAAATGTAGTCAATGGATTAGAAAACTTTATGACTATTTAATAATAATACTAATATTACTTTAATACTAATATTACTTTATCAGCTACTAATCCTGATCTTTGTACATTAAATAATGTATCAGTTTCTCCTATTAACGATGTTAGAATAGGTTCATTTAATAAGATCAGCTTTTATAATGAAAAATATTAGTCTTCTTGTATTGAGTCTATTATGTGCACAATAGTACATTGTTTCGATTATTGTAACAGTTGGGCTAAAATATATATTAACCATTATTATTCTGTTCCCAAGAATAAATTTATACCCAACGTTAAAACATAAAATGGGTAATTCTACAAACTTTAATAGTCTGTACCAGTATAGCATGCCTCTCTGCACCAATTTAAACTAAATGGGAAGTTTAAAGCTTTTTGGCATAAGTTTTTGGTATCCTTTGGCCTTGCCAGGGCCTCCAAATTCCCTCTAATTAATTCTATATCCTATATCTATACAGTTCCTCTTGTCACTCCTAATGTGTCAGTAATGTTAGTTTACCAAAGTAAGCTGTGGGTATTGGTTTCCCAATAATATTGAATAATTTTAATTTAAGGATATTTGTCATCAGTATTGTATTGAGTAATTATGGAGGAATCTTTAACAACATTTCATTTTTCACATTTAGTTAGTAAATTTTTATACTTCACATGTAATTGTTGTTTTAGGTTTTACCAAAAATGACTAAAAGAGAATTCGCCATTTTTATATTTTTCTGATGTAATCAGCTCATAGTGGTTCTACATTCATATATTGAGATCTTTGGCAACAATGAGAGATTATTCTCAATAATATCTTGCTTGTAATTTGGTCAGAAATTTACAGTATACATGTAATTATTGTACTTCAAGTGGCTTTTGGGAATGTTGTTCTTCAATGATTCAATGATGTTCATGAAAATCACAATATATTTGATTGCTGATGCCACAAAATTTGACATTGGCAATAGTAATGCATTTATAGTCAATAACTGACTGTCCAACATCAATCTCATTCAATGTCAATATTGGCGTATATCTAAAATTTCATGTTATACAGTGCAATTAATTGCTGACATTAACCAGAGGATCAGGTTGGATAAGAGCATCAGTCTTCACACTCCCATTGGGTCCCATTGAGGATTAGTGATGGCTGCTTGAGAGAGTGAGTGATGCTTCCTATTTCTGATTTAGTGGTATGTGTTCATACCGGTATGTCAAGCTAATTACATGTCATTTTTGTTAATAATTATTGTGCTGTACTATCCATCTGGTTATGTAGCTGTATATTACCAGCATTGGTATGGGCTACTCATGATTCTCTAGTTATGAAATTGCATAATTTTTTGTAATACAAATCCTACAATACAGTCTTGTGCCTCTAGTGTATAATTCAATTTAATTATCTCCATACATCAGCCATATCTATGGACAATTGAAATTACCTGATAACCAAACATAGTTTATCTATGTTTATGGACCTGTGTTTTATAAGGCTATCTGTTTGTATGTGTGGATAAGCATGACTAACAGTGGTTTTGGGTGTTCATGGTTCATGCATGATTTAGTTATTTAAGGTTATATACCGGTATGTCAGAAGTTAACTTAAGTGATTGCTATGATGCATTTAATGGACTGACAGTAAGCAGTGATTTATCTTCTTATTCAATACAAAGGGCCTGCAATTTTGTGTATAGCTCATAATTCATTACAAAAAAAGACATCATAAAAAGGAAAAGAAATAGAAATTGTGTACATGCATACACAAGACCATAATTAGAAGTCAGCTTTCTAAATAACATTATGACTTAAGAATAATAATGATTTATTGAAACTCACAACAAAGTTAGTTTTTTAAATTACTAAGCATTTAAAACAATTCAACAACTGATTCACGACTAGCACAGCGTCTAACATCAGTAGAACTTGGTACAATTTCTTGTCTTTGTTGATCAACAGTTTTATGTGGTTCATTTACATCTAAAAGAGGATCATCTTCTTTATCTTGTTTCTTGAATAACTTCTTAATTAAAGCATCATAACATTTCATATGTGATAACTGCAGGTAAAGATGATAAATGACAATCAAAATAAAACTAAAAATAAAAACAGATAAACAAGTATTGTACCAGATCAATACTTTACTGTCTTCATTAAGAGCTCCAGATAGACCAACCATGATGCATAAGTTAAACAAGAACCAAACTTCAAGTACATTGTTCATTCTCTTCTTGTAAACTCCACCAAAACAATAACCCAATGATAAGATAACAACTAACACTGTCAATAGCATTGACAATAGGAAGGAGTGTGACTGGATGAAACTGTCAACTAAGGTAACTGATAATAGTACTGGTATTCTAGCCACTAGCAGTAGACCAGGCCAGAACCGATACTCATCTTTCATTGGACCACTATAAGCATCAATAATAGCCGGGCTTAAAACGACTCCACAATTTATTGAAATTTTTTAAATTGGAAAAATACTTCTCATAAAACGGATTGATTAAAAGGAACAGTGTGTATGGTATGACAAAAAAAACTGACACCAATAGGGCAAATCCAAATAGTCCAGCATGCTTCCCTTTAGCATATTCAACATTAGGATCCTCATACCATAAACTAACTGATCTTACTGAATCACTTGTACAGTGAAGAGTTACTTCGCGCTTGTGAAGTACAATAACAATAGTACGTACTAGTTTAGTATATGAGAGAAGGAAGAGTGTAGATAGAACAGGAACAGCATGAGACCCCATCAGTCTTGATACGTTACCATATCTCTTACACAATTGTATAATGATAATGATAATGATCCACAGGTAGAGAGGGAAAGCAAACTGGAGCCATTGTTTAGCATAACTATCCATACCATTGTAAAAACATATCTCAAACCCAAAGTCTAAGTTAATCCATGATATCACTTGATTCAATACAGGTAAAGCTCCTTTCCTTGAAAAAACTGGCTCGTATAACTTGACAATGTTAGCATAAAACAATAGACCATTTAGTGTACCGACTGATATTGTTAAATTGAGAGCAATCAGTAGAACCACGAGTAGTACACCCTTCACTGCAAACAGAGCAATCCAAGCTATCATTGTGTAATTATTATGACAATGTCCACACTTGTTTGATCCCATTAGTAGACTGTATCCCTCTGTACATGATCCACACATTCTGTGTCCTCTATTATCCACACATTGAGTATCAGTGTCATTCAACTTGAAGGTAAGAGGATTAGGAGAACAATAGAGGAGACAGTCCTCATTGATAATGCATGCATTAGGATTGGTTGCATTAGCATTGAAAGGTGTACTGGTATGATATGTTCCAATCCACAGTAGACCATTGTGTGTAATGTTTAGACTAAATTTTATATCACATGTCACATTCTCTCTTGAAACACTTTGACTGCAAGTACAGGTACCTTGTGAACTGTTTGTACTAAAACCAAGTGGACATTTGTCAAAAATATAATTAATACGCATGTATTTTTTATTGAAACGACCGCTTTTAATGTATAGTTTATATTTTCG